CACACACACACACACACACACACACACACACACACACACACACACACACACACACACACACATACACACACACAGCTTAATCATTGCGAGGAGTATCTGCCTGCAGTTAGATCTGCCTATCCATGTAGTCCGCATCGAAACGCAGCAGACCCTCTTGAGTAGCGAGGAGGCTGCATGGCTACACGGGTAAAGAGCTAGACTGCGCTTCGAATAAGTTTCCATGACACGATGACACGGTAACGGTGTTACTATGGTACGAAGTATTGCACCGTGACTGTGTTCTCGTGGTAGTGTGGTATAGGCGTTCTGTATGGCGTACGTGGTTAGATGNCTTGTTACTACCAAGTTACTACTTGTTACTACCAAGTTACTACTTCTTACTACTAAGTTACTACTTGTTACTACCTTCTTTATACGTTTTTGTTACGTACTTGTTACGTCCTTGTTACTACCAAGTTACTACTTGTTACTACCAAGTTACTACTTGTTACTACCAAGCTACTACTTGTTACTACTTGTTACTACCAAGTTACTACTTGTTACTGCCAAGTTACTACTTGTTACTACCAAGTTACTACTTGTTGCTACCAAGTTACTACTTGTTACTACCCAAGTTACTACTTGTTACTACCAAGTTACTACTTGTTGCTACCAAGTTACTACTTGTTACTACCTTCTTTATACGTTCTTGTTACGTACTTGTTACGTACTTGTTACTACCAAGTTACTACTTGTTGCTACCAAGTTACTACTTGTTGCTACCAAGTTACTACTTGTTACTACCAAGTTACTACTTGTTACTACCAAGTTACTACTTGTTGCTACCAAGTTACTACTTGTTACTACCTTCTTTATACGTTCTTGTTACGTACTTGTTACGTACTTGTTACTACCAAGTTACTACTTGTTACTACCTTCTTTATACGCTCTTGTTACTACCTATACGTTAGGCTCGCGTGCGGTGCTCTCCGGTTATAAATCTACATCGCTGATGTGAGCGAACGAGAGCACTCCGATGCCGTACGTGCGAGAGAGTTAGAGAGTTAGAGGGAGAAGGTGGAGAGCGAGCGAGAGAGCGAGATGGCGAGAAAAAGAGAGTGCACGAGAGAAAGAGAGAACGAGTGTAAGGAAAGAAGTAGAGCGCGAGATCGCGTACATTGATTGTTACAAACTATTAGTCACTCGCTCAGTCTGTGTGTGTCCGTCCGTGCGTGTAATTTGATTCGTTTATGTTCTCCAAGTTGTCTCCTGTCGTAAAGTTTACAGCCGTGGATGTCGACTTAATCAATGCAAAAATGCAACCAACGCCTTTTGATGCGGGAATTTTCTTTACTAGCAAGCGCGAGTGTTCGAATTACAATACGAAGAAAGCGAACGTACGTGTATTATAGATAGCGTCTCTTCGCTAGCCTAGCAGCCTCACTGATGCGTCACTAGTAACTTGGTAGAAACAAGTAGTAACTTGGTAGTAACAAGTAGTAACTTGGTAGTAACAAGTAGTAACTTGGTAGTAACAAGTAGTAACTTGGTAGTAACAAGTAGTAACTTGGTAGTAACAAGTAGTAACAAGTAGTAACTTGGTAGTAACAAGTAGTAACTTGGTAGTAACAAGTAGTAACTTTGTAGTAACTTTGTAGTAACAAGTACGTAACAAAAACGTATAAAGAAGGTAGTAACAAGTAGTAACTTAGTAGTAAAAAGTAGTAACTTGGTAGTAAGAAGTAGTAACTTGGTAGTAACAAGTAGTAACTTGGTAGTAAGAAGTAGTAACTTAGTAGTAAGAAGCAGTAACTTGGTAGTAAGAAGTAGTAACTTGGTAGTAAGAAGTAGTAACTTGGTAGTAAGAAGTAGTAACTTGGTAGTAACAAGTAGTAACTTGGTAGTAAGAAGTAGTGCTGCAGCGCTAATATCGCTCTCTCTCCACCTTCTCCCTCTAACTCTCTCGCTCTCTCTCCACCTTCTCCCTCTAACTCTCTCGCTCTCTCTCCACCTTCTCTCTCTAACTCTCTCGCACGTACGGCATCGGAGTGCTCTCGTTCGCTCACATCAGCGGTGACGTATCAGTGAGGCTGCTAGGCTAGCATTAGCGCTGCAGCACTACTTCTTACTACCAAGTTACTACTTGTTACTACCAAGTTACTACTTGTTACTACCAAGTTACTACTTGTTACGTCCTTGTTACTACAAAGTTACTACTTGTTACGTCAGAGTTAGAGGGAGAAGGTGGAGAGAGAGCGAGAGAGTTAGAGGGAGAATGTAGAGAGAGAGAGAGAGCGAGAGAGCGAGATGGCGAGAAAAAGAGAGTGCACGAGAGAAAGAGAGAACGAGTGTAAGGAAGGAGGGAAGAGCGAGAGAGAGAGAGAGAGAGAGAGAGAGAGAGAGAGAGAGAGAGGAAAA